ATTAGATAACGATTTGTTATTCTCCATCTATCATGCATACTGAATAATAATTATATTGCATACCTGCAAAATCAAAGTATAGAATAAAACGTATGACTTACTCCATACATTTCGGGTACTCATCTTCATCTTGCCATCTCTCATTTTGACAATAGATTAATGAACTGTAAGTCGTTAGAATAGATAGAGATAATAAAATGATGAAAACGCTCTTTTATAGAAAATATTACCTTACTTTCTTAAAACTTTCGTCCTCCTACCTATTATGCTACATTAGTTCCTCATATCGTATATTGGCAAAAATAAAATATGATCCAAAATTGTTAATAATAGTCAAGGGGATTGGAATGGGTATTTCTGCCTTGTGAATTATGGGAGATTAGATATGTTCTATTTCAAAAGTACCGACTGATGGACTGATGTAGTAAAGTGGTAATAATTAAAAAAATTATTTTCATTAAGTATTTATTACAATTTTTCCTCATTTTTTTTTTTTTAAATTGAGGATTATGATTTACTCTACCTATGGACTATCCGAGTATTCAATGTCCTCATAATATTTTCAAAAACAACTGATAGTAGTATATTCATTTTCAAAATTGGCATAAAATACGAATTATTTCAAATAAAAACTTATGCACGTTTGGATTATCTCATCAAATCTAATAAATTAGAAGCAATTTATTTGGTTTTTTGAATATTGTTGGTTGTATATTTGCTCTCTTATATCTTGCTTAATCTTCCCTGGTTTATATACCTAATAAACATTGTTAATTATTGTTTTATTCATTGACAATCTTTTCTTAAAACATTTGACGTGATTCAAGTTCATGTTTTATTAAGACTATATTTTAGATTTKTAGTTACAGTGTACACATAATTCTGAACTGACACTATGTCGACCTTGACAGTATTCCAAAATATATAAAATATAACTGATTTGATTTATGTTTTCCTACTTATTTTCCAAGAATATGTTTTATGTTATGTGATTCCAGCCGTAAAGAAAAAATTGAATAATTGTGGTGTCATTAGGCTAAGTACTATGAAGTACTCATTAAAACGTATTTAATTTTAGTATTAAGTCTAGTTTTGTAAACCTAACTTTAAAGTATATTTGATTGTTTTGTAACTGATTAAAATTGTAACAGTAGTTATAAAGTTATAATATGAAATCATTATAATTGTATTTACAAATCGTTAACTGTATTATAGTTTGTATATTTCTATTTCCGTAAATTAAATAAAACAATTTTTCCAATAACTTGATTATTGATTACCTATCAAAACTAAACTAGAAGATTGGTACTTCACTTACATTTGAAGTTATATCTATAAATAAAATATTAATTAATATTAATTAATATTAATTTGTTTTATACAGTGTGATTCGATAAAGTCTAACAGTTTAATAGTGACAAAATATTTTATGTATTTATATTATTTTATATGCCTTACAATTTACATCATACATTCATAAGATATATATTATGCATATATTTTTTTAATGAGATTTTAACCCAA